TTATCTATGTGCAAATGTTTATGCATATTAGACTGCATCATCAAAAAAAGTTGCGGTTTTTCCGCAGGGATTACATTCTCTCAAATGACAAAACAGAATAGGTTTAAAAAATCTGATATTTGATGCTGTTTTTTTTTACTTTATTCAAAGATTGATTTACGAAAAACTTAAATAACTGGCCCAAAATTATTATGATTTAGACTTATGGGATCTCGGTAAAAGGTATTTTCTCACTANAAATGACAAAACAGAATAGGTTTAAAAAATCTGATATTTGATGCTGTTTTTTTTTACTTTTTTCAAAGATTGATTTACGAAAAACTTAAATAACTGGCCCAAAATTATTATGATTTAGACTTATGGGATCTCGGTAAAAGGAATTTTCCCACTATTTTTTTTTTATTTATGTGCAAAAAAAGTCATTCGTGTCCTAATTTTTAACCGACTTCCAAAAAATGAGGAGGTTATCATTTCGTCGGAATATTTTTCTTCTCTTTTTTATGTATATTACCGCATAACTTGGGACCACGTCAACCGATTTCGATAATTCGATTTTGGCATCGGAAATGTAGTGTCTCAGAGGTGGTCCCATACTAATCTGGTTTAGAAAAATATTGATTTTTAAGAGTTTTATACCATTTCTACGAAAAATGTTTTTTTCTCCATATAAAATACATGGAAAACTTTGAGCGCTTTGAGCGCTTTGAGCACCCCCTAAAGATTTTTTGATTTCAAAATAAAAAAATAGGGGTATATTTCTTTCGATATAGAACAATCCTAGGGGGTGCGGGCATTAAAATTCCAACTTAATTTTTTTGGACCACTCTAATATGCATAGATGTATTCATAAGCATCAGTTAACCCTTCCTGTCAGCTTTTTGTGATATTTTTAGCCCGATGATTTTGCTCTTCAAAAGAAATTCTACGACATTCGGAAAGAAATAACACTGCTTTTCGAAGGTTTGTTAGTATCTTGATTATATTTCATTAAGGAGTAGAACTATCGATATGTTTTTCGGTCAATTTTTAAATTTTCAAAGAACAAAAACGTTACTATATAGCACTGCAATTCAATCGTACATATTTGTAATACATTGATATGTACTTATATAGAAATATTTCTAAAAATAAAAATAAACCCGAAAATTGTTCAGTACCTTGTCACAGAAAAATTCAGAAAAGTTTTTTTTTTTTTTAAATAGTGGTCGCCCCTTGGCAGGCAATGCCAAACCTTCGAGTATACTTCTGCCATCTCACGAAAATATCATATGTCATTCAGGGTCGTAGTAAAAGTAGTACTGATCAAGTTTTTGTAAAGAAAAGTGCTGTACGAGTTTTCAAAGTAAAACAACTTAACAGCTGGGATATAGTCAATAAATTAACCGAATACAAAGGATAGGTTAACATTTTTATTTGATAAGAATTATCAATGTACTTTACAAGTACATACTTAAATACAGATAATAAACAAATGCAATGTTGTTGCTGCATTTTATTGCGTTAATTAGTTAAACGCTTATCTGCTGCCGACAACAAGCATATTTATATTGATAACCACAAGTCTCTACATACTTACATGCATATATGTACATATACACCCCATTTCACTTGAATAGCTACATTTATCTACTTCATAAACCATTCGAAGACTGAACAGTTTTTAAGAAAATGAAAATTGATTAATTAATTTTTTATGCGGCTTTCTGTTAAACACGAATATTCAGCATATTTTTTTTATCTTCTTTTTATTAACCTGTATAGATACAGCGAGTGTGACATTCTTGTGGGTTTAAAGAAATCAATTAGATTGCCGTTAACAAACCTGAAGCATTTAGAAAGCAATTCCTGATATCACATAGCAAATGTGGGTCAAACAGGTGCACTAAAGAAAATGCGAAATTTACGGAATTTGCGGATCCAGAATTGTATGGGTGAGCTTTTGCGTACAATTTTTACCCTAAAAAGAAATGACATAAGTTCAATTGTGAGGTGAGATTCTGATTGCAGCGACTTTTGCACCGATGATTAAGAAAAGAACGTTCCATAAATGTTGCGCCTTGAAAACACAGGCGCGGCTAGGAAAAATCTATCCTCGCCATCAAAAAATTTGTCAGTTTTAAAACTTTTTTACTCGAAACATTTCATAGCTGTGCCACCGGTAATAACAAGTGAACAGATATGTAAGTAGTTCAATTTTTTTACCAACAAAAAATACAATGTATTTTCTTCCCTTCAGCCATTTTTCTTTACAGTTAATTATTCGCCAAAGTGTGACTAAAGCGAAGACTCTCCGATGCCTACAAGTAAAGATACTTATAAACACGGATCTTGAAGAAAATAGTATGCCTATTCAAGTGAAGCGAGGTGTATGTATGTATGCATGTAGTATGTATGGGTTTGTGAAATTGAAATTGTGAACAAATTCTGTTATTGCCCAGCAAAAAACACGATTACCCCAGAAATAAAAATGAAATCGAATTAGGCGATGGGAATCGCTTACCCTTTCGCTTCAAGAAGGCATTATTTTAATATGGGCTGTCATTGATCATAAGCCCTAACCCGCAGCATTCCATTCGAATGAAGGGAGAACGCATTGATAAACAGAATCCAGAGAAAGGAACAAAGAATGCCTTACAGAGAAACTACCTAGAATGCCTAGGTAAGGGCATACTTCTGTATACTAAATTGAAAACAGCAAATACAGATTGTCTAAAAAGATTGCAATTAAAAAATTGTTTTTCTGGAATACCGCAGGGACACCCTGTGTTTAAACGTCAAAACAACATTTTATTTCAAAGAATGTATTTTTGACATTTATTTCGGTGAAAAGCTTACGCATGGCTATGCTCTTATTAAAATTCTAAGTCTAAGTTCGGGCGGAGCCGAACATTAAATACCCGGCGCAAGTATTAAATATATGTTTTTCACCTTTTCGAAAGCTACCGCTACATGGTATATACTTTTTTGTAAATTAGCGTCCCAAAATTTCGAAATATTTACGTTTCAAACATTTCTGAAATTTACCGTTATATGAAAAGCGGCCAATTTTAGTCCGATTTCAATAGTTTTCAATGTTTTGCTATTATGTGGCAAGCACAATAACCATACCGAGTTTGGTAAAAATTAGTAGAACGGTTACTGAGATATATATATGTGATCATAAGTGGGCGGTGCCACGCCCATTTTCCAAAATTTTATCAAAATGTATTTCTCTAAATTACCGTTATATGGGATGTGGGCGTGGTTATTGTCCGCTTTTAAAAATTTTCGGCCTTTTGGTATGCTGAATTAAAGCGAACAACTATGCCAAGTTTGGAAGAAATTGGTGCAGCTGTTACCAAGATATATACATGTAACCATAAGTGGGCGTGACTACGCCTCTTTTACCAAAAATTTATAATATTCTTATTTTTAGTCTAAAAATTATTTTAAATGTCAATTTTGAGTGAATTATGTTCAGTAGTTACTAAAATATGGCAGTTTTCGTATTTCTGAAAATTTCCGTTATATGGGAGGTATCCGTCGTTATTGTCCGATTTTGTCCTACGCTCGAAAGAAGTGCACGTACCAAAGTTTCGTTAAGATATCTCAATTTTTACTCGAGTTATCGTGTGCACAGACGGACGGACGGACGGACGGACGGACAGACAGTCACCGCTTAACCGATTTCTCTTTTCATTCTGATCATTTATGTATAAATTTGTCTATATCTATATCGATTCCTTTTTCCTATTGCAAACAACCGCTATGTGAACAAAGTCATAATACCCTGGTGCACAAGTGCGCTCGGGTATAAAAACAAATAAATAGGTATATTAGTCATGACTTTTTCCATTTCAGTTGCGAAGTTGTTACGTCTTTTTACATTCAGGTGACGATATGTAAATGTATTAAAAATAAAAAAAAAATGCTTTGAACTAAAATACAGAAATACGAAAGTAAGCTAAATATATTTCTCTCAACACACGATTTGGTACCTATAACAAAATAATGCAACTTTTTATTACCAAATCATCTGTTGGGAGAAACTTAAATATTTGGCTGTCGTAACTAAACTCTTTTCTACAGGCAAATGATCACTGAGGTCAGACAAATGATTTATACCACTTACAAAACAAACGTCTAATATACATATAAGTACGTATGTAATATTAAAATGGAATGTGCAATAAATATCCATGCATATACATATGCATATACGAGTTGTTGATCAAAATGCAATTTCAGCGATAATGAAATATATATGAATTGCACTTAAACCGCCTTTGCATTTTAAAGCATCTGGAAAGCTTTGTAATAACTATACAAATTCTCTTCTATAAATAAGTATGTAGTTTAGGGTGGTGCAAAAAAGTACGGTCGGTATTTTAATGCTCTCGCCCCTTGGATTTTTCTATTTTGAAATAACTATGCCCCTGTTTTTTACAAGCATTAATTTTGCTCTGTTTGTATGTTTGTTAGGGGCAAATCTTGCAATCAAGATTTTACCAACATCCCCATAACCTGGAGACTTGAAACTTCGCAGTTGGCTCAGAAACTGATGACAATGCAATACGAGAGATGAGTTAATCCCACAGGTGGCGCAGGAGTCGACATATTCGTGCTATTGTGCCAGTCCTATAGTTAAGCGTTGCCCTTTTTCAAGGAAATCTCGACTTCGCTGGTATAAAGGTAAAGGAAGGCAAGAACTGCATTGTTAAATTTTTTTTCAACAAATATGAGGGCTTCGACATCGCATGAGCTAGAACAATATCTTTTCATATACTAAAGTGTACGCATACTTTCTATGATAAAAATCGCCAAATAGTAAACAATTATTATCGATAGATTAATCCAAATGATCAAAGATTGTACTTTAAACTGGTTGTGTTTCATCTTCTCTCATTTAGCGAATGTAATTCGAATTCAGTATCAAAAACCCAAAAAGTTTGAAACAATTCTTGAGTAATTTTTTTTCATTTACTTAATTACTGAATTAAAGAAATGTAAATAAAATCTTCTTTTTTTGCAGCTAAGTGATTAAAAATTTTTTATTGATTAGTTGATAACAAATAAAAGTTAATGCTTTGTTGATAGACATATGAACTATCCATACAATGGAACATTTTTGATATAGATTTTGAAATTAAAACATTTCCAGATCTCAATACAAACATTGGAGCAATTAATCCCAATATTTCGAAAACAGTGCGCTTCCTTCTTTATTCTCATCTGCGCCGGGCAGAGTTTTGTTGCAGTGCTGATACCATCTAATTATGTTCGGATATTTACTCAAATCAATGCCGGTAGCTTCAAAACTCGCAACGCTAGCAAGTAAGGTAAAATCGGCTATAGACATACTGTTATTAGCCACGTACGTTTGTCCTTCTAAAAAGGTGTTGAGAAACTCCAATTGGCCTTGAAGTTTTGTCAAACTCTCTGGCACAGGCGGCTGTTTATCCCTTGCAATGGGGTAGTAATATTCAGCAAAGCAGGAATACAAATTAAGATCGAAGAAGAGTCGTTGGTTGACCAAAGCCCGCTTCTGAGGGCACTTGGGGTATAACGAATCATCTTTGCCATATTTCTCAGCCAAATATATGAGTATGACGCGTGATTCCCAGATAGAAAAACCATTGTCCACCAATGTTGGGATAGTGTGCTGTGGATTTATCTTCAGAAATTCGGGTGTTAAGTGTTCACCCTTCGCCAGGAATAACTCCTTTCGATTGAGTTCAATACCTAAGGCTTTGGCGAGCATTAGAATGGAACGACAGGGTGCCGACACAAGAAGATAGTAGAAATCCATTTCAACTTTATACTTGCGGATTCTGTAGAAGGAAAATCTTTAACGCTTGCACTATGTGAATTATGAAAAGCAATACTTGATATTTACCGGTAGAACTTTGGTTTATTCCGCGACTGTATACTTAGATGCTTTCGAATGCCCGATTGATGCAAAACTGAAAGCGTTGTTATAAAATGCGAACTATTTAAAGCAGGCGTGCCCAGCACTTGCCTATAGAATTCTGCCAGCGCAAGGCACTTGCATATAGAGTTCTGCCGGCGTTGGACATGCCTGATTTAAAGAATAAACTATGTATGCATTTATGACATATGTACATACATTGTAGACTAATAGAATGCGAATGTACCTATTTGTACATACCCTGCAGGAAATGTGTCTAACTATAACCTAACTTTAAATTAATTAGGAAGGAGCTAAAATTCACTTATTGTCTGTATATATTCTTTGACGAAAGCTAACCAAGAATGATAGAATACAAGATTGCGCCGATTGCAGCAGAATTCGTGAGAGTAATTTTAGCGTGACGTCATCGTAGAGTTGACAACTGAGAGCGGCGAGAATGAGGGCGACTAGTGATGTGCTGAATTGTCCCCAATACTCGGTACCCAATACTTAAAAAAGATTTCGGTACCCTATACTTCCTTTTCGGTATCCGATACCGATTATTTACATTAAACCCTCGCCATTATATGCATTTCAGGTTTAGAAAAAACTTTCATTACTAATTTATATGATATCGGCTAAAACACTTGAACTTATCGCCACAGAAAAATATTATTTTATCAGTTTTAACCTTAGTCGATCCAAGGTTCAAGAAAAATGTTTTGACGGATGAAGAAGCTTTTCAGGGGGGAGATCTAACCAGTTAGCGACAAGTTTCGGATCGATATCGTACTTGTTGGTGTAACAATATTTCATATCATAGGTCAACAAACCCGATACCGATTCGAAAATTGTCGCTAACTGGTTATAGAATCTGCCCCTAGGCCTCCAAAAATGATATCGTCCGATTCAGCTGGAACAAAAATGCTTCAAACAAGTGAGAGTTTCTCTGCGTTATGGCCTGGAACCGACATATATACATCTTTCATTTGAATCAGTATTAAAAGCTCTATCGGCTCTATTGGCGAGTCTCCCCTGAGCCGTTTTTTCCATATCTTTGGCCTGTGTGCGCTTTTATTTGAAATCTAAATGTTTTGGTACCGAGTATCGAGAGTATTGGATACATTTTAAATCGTTGCCGAATATCGATCAATACTTGAAAGTATTGACTGAGCACATCACTACTGCTGTCTTCTCTACTATGACGTCACCAAAACAGCTGATTCTGTCAAAATCACTGAGAGCCGATTAGCGGTATCGTCATCGGCGCCACCTCTGTATTCTCTCCACCGTGAAAGCTAACTATATTTCTATGGTGATGGCCGCGAAATAGTCAAGGGTGGTTTACCTCTGCATTAGATGTAGTCAAGGGTGGTTTGCCTCTGCATTTGATGTAACTAACTTGTAACTAACTACTTTTGGACATAAAATGTCAATAGGAAAAATAAAATATTTTTTTATTTTTTAAGTGAAACTTCTTTAGCGGCGGTTGGTTGGTTGGGAGTAAATTGGCAAATTCAAAGGAAATTGCACACGGAAATGGTGCAACGGAAATTATTGGGCTGAAACAAGTGCGTCTTGAGTGTATGGTATTAATTTAACAAAAAATTGCTAATAAAAGGTTAAAGAATAGAACTTAGAAAAATACCAATACAAGAATGTAAGTAAAGGTGAGTACGTATATAGATAAAGAAAAGGATAAATAAAAACAAAACCAAAGATACATAAAGATAAAGGCAAAAATGAAGACCAAGGTAAATTTAAACACTTTACTTATATATATAAGGGCAAAAGTAAGGGGGAATATTTAGATGAAGAAAATGATAAATATAAAAATAAAGACAAAGAGTAGGATGAGGATGAGGATACCGATAAAAGTAAAGCCGAAGATAGGGGAAGAAAGTTTAAAATAAAGGTAATTGAAGAGGAAAAGATATAGAGAGAGACACAGAGACTCAAGCTGGGAACTATTTTGGGATTTTAGAAATTTGCGGGACTCTCGAGACTTATCGATAAAATAATCCATATTTTTATCGGTTAAGCAAAAGCATATGTGTGTATGTATACATTGGTTATGAGACGAAATAGATAAGTAACGTACGTTTCACTTCTCTAGTGTGGCCCAGGCCCACTTACTTTCTTCATTTACTTTATCCATTTTATTACATTTCATATTTGTTTCCATATTCTGTTGTAGGTGGTCCTATATTCGGACTTCGGATAATATGAAATTTCGATCTCTCTTTTATTTGTCCTCGATTCGAAAAAGTATTTGCGATGTACAGGATATTTAAATAGAAACGCGTTTAAAGAAAACAATCTTGAGCTTGACTCCTGCATTACTTGTCAACTAGTTTCAAGTTAGCTTTTTGTAGCTAACTAAAAGTTATATATTTTATAGAAATCCCGCAAAAAAGCTAACTACAAGTGGGTTATTTTTTATCAATTGATAATTTTTTTCTGCAGGGTATACACATGTGCACACATACATATGTACATATACTTCTGTATAACAACCCAGTGGGAAAAGTAGTAATGCATTACATGGGTGATAAAAAATGTAATCCATTTCTTGTAAGGTTTGGATTCTGCTACTGTTTAATATATACATAATCAGCATTCTAATGTTGACGTAGCGTCGCCCCCTCAGCCAGCAATGTATTGCCAGAAGGTATGTACTATTTTGTCTCATCACCACTCAGTGCTAGACTAACACCCTTTGTGAGCTGGGGAGCCGCGCTGCTGAAGGCCCTGTTTTTGAGAGGGTGATGTCAACGGTAATTCCAAATAGTATGCCAGCCGCATCATGATTGTAGTAGGGATTATGATGTTACGAATAAGAATCTCTTGTACTTCCCAACAGCAGATTGAACCTGTCGAAAATCTCGTTTGCTCTTGAACGGCGTACAGAAGTTCTTCCCAATTTAAACAGAGCTGACGTTTGGCTTCTTTGGTTCTACCAATGTCGAAATGGAAACGAATGAATTTGCTGTACGTAGCGGTTTTCCAATCTAAGTTCTTTGCTTGGATTTTCCATGCCTGTAGTGACACTAAATATACCCATACGGTTCATAAATAAATAATATAATAAAATATCGTAGATATGATCTTTCCCGCGCTGTTAACATGGATTTCTTCCTGTAGATTGCGCAAAGTAGGGTGAGATACCAAACTTCGGGCATATGGTCATATGTTGACTTCCCGACTAATGGTGCAGGAAATTCATGTTTTCAAATACATATTATTTTCAATTTAGAAAAAAATTTCGAACATTAAATTACTTAAATTCTTAATAAAAGTTATAAAACCATACCAAGATAACTCTTCAAGTACTTTCTAATTTAAGTAGAGACGCTTTAGCGGATAACTAAACTCTATGTATGTTCTTTTGTATATGTGTGCAATATAGAACTACCCTGTGGGAAATTCAACTACTTTAATAGCAATTAACGATTTTTTTATTTTAAATTCAAGTAGTTAACATTCTTCCTTTTTTTCTTGTAAGCAACTGACTTTATTAATATGGCGATAATTATCGGTCTCTGTATATGACTTCAACCACTTTAAATTGCACCTGGTTTAAAGAATAAAATTTCATTAGGAAGGTAAGCGCATTAATCAGGAAAATCCAGAGGCAACACGTGAAGACTTTAATTAGGAGTTATGCCAGGCAATGGTTGCTGTGACTTTCCCTTGGCATGCATAGCAAAATGCAAAATTCAGAAGTTTTTTGGAAAAATACACTCAGCGTATGGTTCCAGATGAGTCCACACTTCGAAAAAATTATCTTCAAGACGTCTATGAGCAAACTATAGAAAGTATAAGGAGAAACATTCAAGATGATTACATTTGGATTGCAGTTGATGAGACCACCGATTCAACGGGGCGTTATATTGCGAATTTTATCGTAGGAAAGCCTACGAAAATGAGACATCATCACCCCATTTGCTTTGCTGTTCCGAATTAGCTCGCGCAGATAGTGAATCTATTGCTGGCTTTATTAATTGTTCTCTTCTTAAACTGCAGAAAAAATTTTACTTCTACTAACTATTGCAGCTCCATATATGATTAAGGCAACAAAACATCTCAAAGTATTTTACAAAAACCTTAAACTTTTGACTTGCCTAGCTCACGGACTTCACCGAGTCGCTGAAAAAATCGGTTTACTTTTTCGAAACGTTTACGATTTAATTTCAGCTGTAAAAAAATTTTTTGAAATCACCTGCCCGAATAGCTTTGTATAAAGAAATTATGGGAGCGGACGCTTGGATTATTGCCACTGAAATTTTTATATGGGCGATTCCACCGTCACGGGTTGGACATTTGTATAGAAACAATTTTCTTTCTTGTTTAAATTTAAGTATAAAGTACTCAACAATTCTGCATTTTGATAAAACTACATCTTATTGGCTATTATATGAGCTATTGCAAACTACGAAAAAAATTCCAGCTTACTCTTATATGGAAAAAATCTGATTTATTTCTTCAGTCACGGGTGGGACAAAAAAAATAACCTGCTTTTTGGAGCAGATATATTTTACAGAAACTCTGCGAATTTATTTCAGTTTTCTGTGTGAACTTGATGTCTCATAATAAAACAAAGAAGCAGAAGCAAAGTAGGGGTTTTATTTTCAGCCAAAAAAAATATTAAAAATGAACGCGATTTCCTAGCGTCTTGAAATCTTTATTTTTACCTACTTAAATCTAATGGACTACAAAACTGTATACTTAAAAAGTCTGAACAAAAAATTTAAAATTTTTGGGCGTCATTGTTAAAGTTTGCTGAATTTTTATAGTTTTTGTAAGAAGTTTGAAATGTGGATTAATGTGCTTGACTTTTATAAAAAAAAAAACTATAAACATTAGATTAACAAAATAAAAAACGAAAACTGATCAAAGTGTAACATATCAGCTGACCACAAGGGTATATAGATAATGGACGAGTCCGCGCATCCACTGTGAATCGGTAAAAACTGCGTTCAAATCCATGTAGTTTTCGAGTGATGCGCGTACAAATATACAGACAGACAGATAGATAGACAGACAAACCAACATTCATAATGTAAAGGCATCGGCCTTGTTGTTATATGTATAG